ACTTGAGCTTCGGAGCCCTTACGCCGGGTTCTCCCCGGAGCTTCTCTTCTCTTTCCGTTTCAGGTCCCTGTTACTCAGTTCAGAGGCAAGATCATTGACAGCTAAGACCGGCCAGATTGGCACCATCAGAACCCATGTCATTTTAGTTTTAAATATCATCTAAAACCCGCAATACTGCCTCCTAAAATGGAGAAAACCTGAAGTTGAAACCCACTTTCAACATTATCTATATTATATAAAGTGGATAATTGCTTTGAGTTCGGTGAATGTATAGTACATACATAAAGCCATTGATTAGGGCTTCCAAGTGTATGGTTAATTAACCCTTAGTTGCATACATGTATAGTACATACATAAAGCCATTGATTAGGGCTTCCAAGTGTTGGTATGCAGGTTCAGATTAATCACTTTATGTGGATAAAAACGCCAAATGTTAGAATTATACTTAACAGGGGCAGAGCCAAGAAATTTTTACAAGGGTGTCAACCTAAATGAATAATGGATGAACCCATAGGGAAGAGGGGGGGCAACCATTGAGGTAGAGAGTGGGGGGAGGGGAAAATTTATATAGAAAGTGGAAATTTTCTGAACTATAGGGCAGGCCGTGGCTCCCCTGGTTCCGCCCCTGATACCTAGTCTGCCCCTCTCTTGACTTCCAAATAGCTCAGACCAACATGGGTTATAGCTTTTTTATGCAATGGACAAACATAGTGAAATCATTTCAATCTAAATGGTTTCAAATGCCCCATATGCAGGGGCGGAGCCAGAAATTTTTTTTTGGCGAGGGCAAAACCTATGCGGATTGAGAAGGGGAGCAGAATAAATGTGGATGGCCATTGAGGGCAACCATTGGGACGGGGAGTGGGGAAGGGAAAAAATATACATGGAATGATGAAATAGTGGAGATTTCTGGACCATAGGAGGCGTAACTCCACTGGCTCTGTCCCTACCCATCTGTTGTTCATTTTAAAGTGAATTAATTCTAACTTAGTTCTTAAATTCAAATCAGCATTCTCGCAGCAAAACAGTTCATATCAGATTGTTTATTCTAAAGTCCATTTATGTTTATATTTTAGAGACAATTAAATTGTAGTAATTAAAGTTTTCAAAAAAAAATGTCAAAAATATTACTAATGCCATAAACTAACAATAACTAGGTTTAAGAAAAAAAAAAGTAATACAAAGGGTCACATGAAATCACATGATACAGAAAAAGCTTATAACCAATCAACTTATATCATAAAAGTAATAACCTATCAGATGATATTCATCAAATCTCAATATTGGGGTGGTAGGGGAGAGAGGGTCTTATTGATCACAGCTCTTCCAGTATTATGTTTTTCTTGCATCATAGATTTAACCAGCTATAATAGCAGTGATACAGTTAATAACTGTTATTTTTTAATGAAAATATTTATAGGGTTCACTATGATGTTGGAAATATATAATACGAGAAAAACTTATGACCAATATAATCAACGGATATCATAAAAGTAATAATCAATCAAATGGGTTTCATCAAAATTCATTGAGGGGTTTGCTTGGTCAGAACCATTCGGATATCATGTATTTCCAGAATCATAAACATGTAAATTGAGGATTTCATGCAATGATGCTAGGAATTGTGCCAAAACAAGCTAAACATGATTGTTTAGTTAATTTCAACCCGTATCATTGTCCAATACATAGAATCTTGGCCATGGACATTGAAATGCTAGGGTTTGACACGTGGCCTACTTCTAGTAAGAGTTGTAGCAATTGTCATGGAAACCATGAATAATTAACTTGAAGCATAAGTAATGACTCATGAATGAATATTGAAAACGAATACTGTTCCGGAAACCCATATATAGCATAGCAGGAATACATTGGCCATCAATACATAATTAAGAGAGCGCAGGACACTTTAGGTTGGTAGGTAAATATATTAATGGAGGGTGTTTTGGTAAAATAGAGATCCCAGATATTTGTGTTTTCTATTATTTGTACAATCGCACGAGAAATGTCACTCTGCTCGGAATTCCTTTGACTTTGAAAATTCGAATTAGCCAATTAGACACAGCACTTCAAGGTGGTGATGGCACAAAGTTTGTGACAACGACCAAGAGTCACCGGCGGCGCCGGTTTGGGGAATTCATGGGCCCACCATTGAATGTTTCATATTTAATAAACATCTATTTTTGTCTTTACAAAAAACTACTATCAATACCTTTCAAAGCCATCCCATACTTGTAATAAAATTGAATATGTTATCTAATGCCAGGCTGCTTAGTCGGTAAAACTTTAAAACTAGCTGGGCCCCGGATCCATCTTCACCAACCAACCTACCGCCAACTAAATGGAGAGAGAGAGTAGGTGGATCTCAAACATAGCTCTTATAAGAGCATTCGGATTTCCTATTCATTTTTTCTACCCGTCATGAATTAGAACCATACATCTCTATTATGAATCGAGAGATGTGTGATTCCAATTCACTACGGGTAGAGAATGGATAGGAAAAATGAGTAAAAAATCTGGGTTTTTATAAGAAGTGCCAAGCTAATTAGAAACTCAAATGGTAAGTTCATTAATTATCATCGTAAATGTAACTTCATCCATTTTCCTATATTTTCAGGATATATAGATAATTATATTATCATTTTTTATATTTATATATAATATATACATGGGTG